ATATATATATATATATATATATATATATATATATATATATATATATATCTACTGAGTTATTTACAAAAACTGTGTGTGTGTACGCACATGTGTTTGTGTGTGTGAAATATTTGCCAAATACATATTTGACAGTGGAGGGAAGCAGCCTCAAGAAGGTTTTGACCAGCCCTTCTGTTTCTCAATTTAAAGGGTGTTAGGCAAGAAGATGCTTGAACAGAGATTGAGACAGAGGGTCATGTGCTTTTCATAGGCTGAAGAGATGATTGCCAAATTTAATAACACATGAATGCAATATACTCTCAGTAATTAGTGATTCTTTTAGAAAAATAAGCAAAGGGAATTAGGGACTTGGTTTATGTTTGTGACACTTGGTAAAGTCAATGATTTCTATTGCAATCACCAAACTTCAGCTAGACTGAGATTTTGCCATCTTGTGAAAGATTTCTTTGGGAAATTGCTTTAAGATTTCAAGGATTTATTATAAGATGTATAAAAAAAAGAATGACAACAGATGACTTGAATAAATGGCTACAAGATCAATTAGGTTAAACAAAATTAATTTCTCAAGACTTATTATGTAAGCATTCACTGAGAGTCTCTTAAGGGCAGATAGCATGTGGTGTGGGCTCTGCCATTGTCATCCCTACTGGCTTCCCTGCTTCCCACCCACCCTGCACCTGGTCTAGTGTTCCTTAGAATAGTTTGTGAAATTTTCTTCTTGGAATTCTTGAAATGTGATCTTGTAACTGTGTGTCATGTTACTTCTCCTTTTCTCTCCTCTCCAAATCTAGCCTATATTATCCAGATCACAGATTGAACATCTTAATGTAACCATTTCTCCTACAGCCTCTATTAGACTTTTTTTTTTCTTTATTAAGAAAGTAAGTACCTTTAGGATGGAGATTATCTCGTCCTTCTCTGAATATACCATGGTCCTTAAAACAGTGCTGCCTACCTACAGAAAGGTTCTTGTTCTTTTATTGACTGGTTGATTGACTGAAAGAATAGACCCAGAGCAGTTTTGAATTTAGAAAACATAAGTGAACAAGATTAATTTTTTTTTTGCCTGAAAAATCTCAAGGTTAGTGAGAAGATACAGGCAACTATACAGTATGAGACAAAAATACAAAATACTTCATAATTATGAAACTGGACAGAGATAAGATACAGTATAAGACTTCTAGGAAGGTTTTACTAGTACTAGCCAACTTGACTCTGGGACAGTTACACCACACCTGAATTCACTGAGTCCTGTTTGTTCCACATTTTCATCATAGTAAACTTAAGGCCCATGAGATACAGAGCAACACTCCAGGTGTTCTGTGATTACTTGAGGTTCACTTTGTCTTTCCCTGGAACTGGGTGTTCGGGAAAGGCAATTAGCAAAGGTGTGGGGATGTATAAGAAAGAAAGAATTGTCGCATAATACTAAAAGTATCTATAAACATCTCATATGCATACACTTATCCTTGTTCCATCTCTTCAATTCCAGAGTAAGTAAATTAGGATTAACTTCTGCAACTCTGTAATACACTTTTTTTCATAAAAGTTGTCTCCTTGACATATATTCTTTTAATCTTTAATTTAAACTTATTTCTCTTGTTTAAATGTCATTGTGTGTATATATGTGAACAAATGCATGTGTATTATATGAATAAATATGAAGCTAGAAAAAATAAAAATGCAAAGGCTTTGTGAATTTTGGTCTGTTTGTATGTCTCCAGGCCTTCTCTCTTCTTTAAGGGGGAAGTTGATTTAGAGTACTGAAGGACTTCTCTTCATTTCTCTCTCTCTCTCTCTCTCTCTCTCTCTCTCTCTCTCTGTGTGTGGTATGTGTATGTGGTTTTATTGATTGCTAAGGACATGAGAAATTAGAAAGAAAGGATCATTTGTTCCCAATTAGCTTTGCTTATTCGTGGGATTGAAGTCATTACTTCAACAAAATGTTTTTTATTATAGCACACACCATTCCCTTCTTTCCTACCAGGATATGTCAATGTAATAAGTCTTGCCTTTACCTTGACTATATCCCCAAAATGTGAGGAAACAAAAGTTAAATGATGTCTTGCTATTAGAGAAGAAATTGGACCATTTCTGGAGTAGATATATTGAATTGGCTACCTTTGTAGATCTGAACCTGAGTCAAAGAAGCTTGGTCTGTTTGATCTGGGGTTCCTTTCACTTTGTATAAAACTCTCTCTGTACCCCTACCCCCATTCTCAGTTAAGACAACCTTGAGCAAATCCAGTCTCTGGAAGTTCAGATGTGAGCATTCTAAGCATTAACTAAACACTCCTAAGAACATTGCATGGTATAATCAAGACCTAATGCTTGCCACAAAAAGCCCATGTTGTTTCCCAGATAAATGATTGTTTTGAAATATCAGTTTATTGCTCTGACTAAATTGAAATGATCTAGGAAACTTGTTGAGGACAGATGCCTGGATTATATCACTCATGATTTTTTCCTAGTATCTTTTGGCAGCTAGTTGTGTTAGGTTCAGAAACTCTAGTTTTAATCTTCAAATCAGAAGTTACTCTGCACAGAGCCCTGGAGCTCTCACTTGATGCATTCTCTTTCACTTTGTCCACCTTACATCAATGCTGTTTGCCTGATTTTTCTGTCACTTTGTCATACTTAAATTAACAGGAGTCCTGCTCAGTTAGTCCCACAAACTGGTCCATTGAGGCCCATCTTCCAGATATTTTGACATCCTAAGACAGCTGTATAAAAGGACTGTTGCAGAAGGCCAATAGTATACCAATCATACACACATATGTGCTTGCAAGGGTACACACTCTCTCAGTGCTTTGTCTCTGGAAGCCATGAACAAAGTTGGCTAAACTTAGCCAGGGCTGTGATGAAGGATCATTCAAGTTATGTATGTTGCACTTCTCTGAGAACCATTTTCACAAGACTGTCTTGTGAATAGTTCCATAGCAGCTGTGCAATGCAGAGTTTCTTGGAAAAAGTGAGTCATTATTTTGAAAAAAAGGAAGGAGCCCACCACTGAGGAAGCAAACACATGTTTGGGGGTAAAATTTGAACAGGATTCAAATATTTTCTTGTTATGCGGCTTGATGCTCTCAGCACATGCAAACAGCACATGTACACACTCTCTCCTGGCCTTCCTCTTTTCTCTAATCCAGGTTGATTTGCAACATTTTCCCTCCATACCTCTGTACCACAGCTGGATTGGGAAATACCACAATAAATTAGAAGTGGAGGCTTGATTTCTGGTGAGTGACTTCTCAATTTAAGTCTCCTTTAGCATTCTGGAACTGTTTGTTTAATGACAACCTTGATGGCCTTTGTCTTGAGAGCCCTTTCCTTGAAACCCAGTCCCATGCAAAAAAAAGCACGTTCACTTCATGCAACACAGCTCAGTTGATGCTTACAGTTCCAAATACCCCAGTTCACTGGGTACAACACAGTTGGAAATGCCTGGTATGAAGGAACATGCACAGCGCAGCGACAGGGAGTGTTTACCACCAACACAAGGAAGTCAAGGAGCAGCAAAGCTACAGTAGTTAGAGGAGGATTAGCTTTCCTGATTTCATTTCAAGAAAACTCTCTTGCCCCTACAGTCCACTGGTTTGGCATGGTATTTGCCCTTGGCTCTGAGATGTTGTTATATTTAACATAGATTAATTTCCAGGCTTGTTTAGGATCGGGGCTGGCATGGTCCTTTAATTGCAGTCCTTCCCTCAAAACCAGTTCTAAACTTTTGCATTTGTTTTCTTAAGTTTTCTTTATAGTCCTGGAATGTAAATTTCCTCCAATTTCTTCCACTTTGCAAACTCCAGAACCATTTGATCAATAAGTTAAAACCCAAGAGAAAACTGACTGTTAGCTAAGGCTTCAGACATGCAAAGCGCACAACCCTGAGAAACAGCAGCACCTGGGACAAGAGGCTCCCATTCCTTTACATTAGGATGGCCTGGGTTTTGCCAATCAAACAACACAGAAACCCAATGGCGGCCCAGTTTGGACACACGTTATGGGATGTTCAGCAAGACACAGTCCAGGGAGCCACTTGTTCCTCTAGCTTGCATACATTTATTTCACACCACCTCAGGCCACTCACAATTTTGCTTACCTGCTCATTGTTGCTCTCCCACCATTCCCCATACTCCCTTTGGGGGTGAAACACTCTATTTCCGACTTGTGCTGGGCCAGTCTCCTGTCTTTGTACCTGGTGAGCATGAACAAGGACAGGAGCAAACAGAAAGACGTGATTGTGTGCTTAAACACTAGGCTGAGGAAGAGCCATGACCACAAAGAGGGGCACCCCATGCCAAAACAGGGAATCCTGCTTCTCAGTGCAATGACTGAACTGCAATCCTTATTACGTTATTATGAAGGGAGATGGAAAACATTGGAGATGAATTTGTTACTTCTTGGTTAAACCATATGTAATCCACCCTTTAGCATTGCATATTAATCAGTGAATTCATCACATCTAATAGTCAATGGTGAAAGGAATGCAGTTCCTAGCATCTGAAAAAAGATGAGTACCAATCAATAAATCAGAATTTATTTATTGCATACATGTATCAGCCACTGTACTAGAACTTTACTTAAATTTAATCTGATGAATAGCTCTATGGCAGAGTCTCTATTATTTTCATTTCCATGTTACTAATGAAGAAACCTAAAATTATAAAAATTAAGTAAACTGATCAAGACAGTTAAATAGTTGGGGTGGGTTTTGAAAAGAGAGTAAAAGTTTAGAACCCACACTTTAGCCATTATAATGTGCTGATTCTATTGTCATTTTTTTTTTAAATTAAATCTTGTCACTAGCCCACCTTCACAGAGTGATACTATATCTGAATATTTATTAGACACTGGCAAACCAAAAGAAAGAAGCTATGTTCCTTTTGTAAGAGAGTCTCCCATAATCATTAAACTGAAGTTTGAGAGTCAGTGTTGAATTGAGTATGTCTTGGAATATGGTTCAAAAGGCCTTGGTATCAGAATTGACACTTCACCTCTCCTGGAGCATATTAGGTATTTCATGTAAATTAGTAATGAGATTCTCAACATCTGTCTGCTACAAGGTACCTCAAGATGAATCCTTATACTTACATGAGTATTTTGAGATAAAATACTCTCTTTACTTTTCATGTTTAATCTGTGGAGTAGGTTAAGAAGCTTTGCTATTTCCGTTTGCCAAATGAGGAACTTACTTAACTGACTTCACCAAAGTTACAAAACTGCTTGTAGAGTTTTCAGGGACCTAAGACCTGATGTTTTCTCTTATAAAACTGGACCCTGATATGATTCTACTTCTTCCATGTTCTTAGTATTTGACAGGCAATGATAAAATGAGTTACTGTCATAAGACTTGCTAACACCAATACATTCACATTCTTTTTAGTTTCTTTTCCTGCTGTCTCAAAAGTTATATAAAACAAAATATGATAAAATCAAGATAATTATGAGTCCTAAAATGTTAAAATACTTGCTAAAATAGACAATGTTGTCCTTCTTTCACTTATTCATTATCCCATTTAAATAAAGATGGTTCATTACATTAGGGCCAATGAACATAATGGGTTAGTTGTACAGTGGACATTAGTTGAGCATCTAATAAATTCTAGGCAATGGACTTTGTACTTCAGCTATAGAGATACATAATCTGCAGGTCCTTCCTTGTAGAGCTCATAGAATATTGGGAGAAAGCAGAAAAAAAAAGGCATGTGCCCAAGTGACTTTAGATATAGGTCATAAAGAAGAGAGGAAAAGAACATATAAGTCTTTGTTAAAGAAGCTAAAGCATCAGACAAAGCCAGACTGAGAAGTCTTTATTTTACCAAAGAAAAATTTCTCAGAAGAGAATCCTTCTGAAGTATCCATCATTGAATGACACTCCACAGGTCAATGCAAAATATTTTGTGCTTGTTTGTGAACTGAATTGCATAACCAAAATACTGCTGTGCAGCTTAAATTAAAATAGTATTAATAGAATAATAAATTATTGATGATTATTCAGTTGCTTACAAAAGGATCCTTGACATATTTTTAAAGGTCTTCTGTTAGACTGATTGCCAATTCATCATTTAAATCCTTCATAAAACTGACTTAAAATAGCTATATTTTTCATGTTCATAAGCTTTTATCCCCAACCCTCTTTTGCATGCCTCTCTAAACACTGCCTAATAACCTCCATTTATTAAAAATAAAACAAACCTCTTTTGGTAAGAGCTTTTACACACACAAACACACAAAACAAAAACAAAAGAAACAACAATAAAATTCATTCCAATAATGCAAGAGATGCCTTAGAAGTTTTGTAGTTTTCAGGTAGTTTTTGTATTTAGCATGGAGTAAAAATGGCATTAATACAGATTGGGAAGCTCATCTTTGCTTTTGGAGGTGACCCTTCTTAACTACCTGTAACTGTAATTACAGCTTTATTATGTTTACTACATGCTAAAATAGACAATGTTGTCCTTCTTTCACTTATTCATTATCCCATTTACCAATAATGTGTTGCTCAAAGTAACTAATAATGTTTCAATAGTCTTCACTGAAGATTTATAATTCTTTCCAGTTGAGTTTATTTCAGGTATGTAGAACTGCTATGCTAAACATAATTTAAGACTTAGAATTTATGTCCTATAAAATTTCTTCAAGAAACTCACAGGGTAATTGTTATCCCCATTTTTAAATAAGGCACCCATGACTCAAAAAGTTTTCTATGCTGGTCAAAGCCCCATAGGTAGTAAGTCACAGAAGTGGAACTTGAAATCAGCTGTTTTATTTCCAAATCCTGTGCTCTTTATTAACATCTTACTCCCTGCCCCTCATTTTATCCTTTAAAAAAAAAACCCTCTTTATTTAAATAGTCTGATATCACATTGGAGAGACCAAAAAGGTCATATATGAAGGTAATAGTGTGTACTTAGTGGAGCTAGGTTTTGAGCACAATGTAAACTTATTTTTTAAAAGGTCAAATTTGACTACATAATGGCCAAGTAGAATAAATCACCCTCCAGGCTCCCTGCTAACATGCAAACAGAATGCCATTCTACTGCCTGGAATTTACCTAGACAGGAATACACCAGCAAGCAGAGGGCTGGGAAAGGGATCTTGCTGAGATGAGCTCACCACCAGTGTGATGCATGAGATGTGGTGTGAATCAGATGATGGACAGGCAGTAGACTTCAGGAGCTGGAATGTGTCACCAAAAGAGCTGAAAGTCAACCCTCTAGTAAAACTGATCAAAACACTCCAGATGAAGGCAGAAGAAAAGTCATTATGGATCTTCAGTTTACAAAGAAAGAATAAAACCAAATTTTAAAACTTCACTATTATAATATGATATTGCCAAGTAATACCCTACTTCAGTCCCATTACTCAAACTTCTATTCATAAGTAAATACATTGTAATGGTTTACTAAATATGCCAACGGATCTTGTAGCATCCATACACACACTGAAACACATCCTTTGCCCAGACTTGAAATGCCACATTGATTCATTTAAAGGTTTCAGATTAAAAACAAAATTGAGCATGATTAATAGTCCCATAAAACAATGTCAGAAGTGAACATAAGTTTGAAAGTATTTGAGAAGCTGCCAAGAAACATATTAAGCGGTGCTCTATAAAAACAAAAGGAAGGTAGAAATTGACAGGTGGGGAAGCAATGCAAATAAGCAATTAAAATGTAAAGAATCAGCTATATTGACCCAGTAATTCTATTCATAGGAATTCATTCTAAGAAAATAATTCAACAGAAGCTCGAAGGTTTTTGCACAAAGATTTTCCCTTCAGTATTATAGAAAATGTCAGAAGCAAAACAAGAACAAAAAAACCACTGGAGAATATTTTAATAAATTAGAGTGTAGAATATAATGAAATGTGTTAAATTTTGTATTGAATAAAGCCTTTCATTTAGCTTCCAGAGAATTCCCAAAGGATGAATCTTAATCCCGTTTATGAGGAGAGTTGTTTTCAGAGATGAATCATCTTAAGTCATTGCCTTTTTGCTGTGTACTTTCCCTCAACATTTCTACTTGTTTCACAATCAATAGAAACCCAGGAAGATACAGATTTTGAAAACAGTCCTAAGGTGCTTTACAAGCTTACACAACATTCTTAAAGGAAAAGATTTTCAGGGAGGAACTAAAGGTCAACTAGAGGGAAGGTCTCCATAGGAGAATAGTACCGGCCTCAAGAATCATTTGAGAAAGCATTAACTAAAAGTTGCTGGCATCTTAGGACTTATTTCAGAAATGAGGAATTTTCAGGCAAATCATTTATTCTAAGATAAACGAGTTGTTTTCCAACAGAGATTTCTCCTTACATTTTTTGTATCTGAACAACTGTAACGTCTTTGCAGACAGAAGAAACTGCATAATAATAACAGAAAGAGCTGTTATTTCCTGAACCCTGGGAATATATCAGACACCATTTAAGTTAATTTCCTCATTTAATCATTGCCATAGTCTGATTAACTAGATACTGTTATCATCCCTATTTTATACACCAAGAAGAAATAGAGCACAGGAAAATTAAGTAACTTGTCCAAGGTCACCAGTTTGCTTAATGATGATGTGTATTACATCTCACTAAAATGCCAGACACAGTAGCATTGCTATTTGTTGGGCTTGGTTCTGTCTTTAAATGGCAACTGTGCTATTTTTTCAAACCTTTCATTCTTTTTGATTTTTACCACAATCTCCATGGCTTCAGCCCCTGCCTCTGCTCTTTCCCGAGCCTTTTCTGCTCTTTTAGAGAGGAAACCTGATTCCTCCTGGGTACTAACCTTGGTTACAATTTGCACTAGCAACTTGATTTTCTCAGTCTGGGGACAGATGGAGCTCAAACTTCAGAATTCCTCAAAGAAAGCAGATTTTTTTTCCTGAAGCTGGTGGATTACCATAACCTCTCACAACAGACCCTTGCAAGATTCCATTTCTATTTTTGTGTTTATATTTTGAGATCATTTTCTTTCTTAAATAAAGTTCACCAAATCATATGAATGTTAGGTCATACAGGCTGATATACAATAGATTATTATTCAGCCATAAAAAAGAATGTAATTGCCGGGCATAGTGGCACAAGACTGCAATCCTAGCCACTTGGGAGGCTGAGGCAAGAGGATTACAAATTCAAGGCCAGCAGGGAAATTTAGCCAGGTCTGTTACAAAATGAAATAGTAGAAAGGTTGGGGATGCAGCTCT